GTCCACTTTTCAATTTAATGTCTCATTGTGATCCAGCAACTTTGGAAAGCAAAGTGTGTCTATATTTTGACATGTTGCCAAGGCAAGTATAGAGGGTAATGAGCCAAGCTGAAGCTCAGGCTGAGATACTTGAAGGTTAAGGGGAGGGGGGTTCCAGGGACATGCCATAGGAGAAGAATGAGGGACAGAAATGAAGTAACAAGGACACGTGATGCTAAATTATCCATGGCCACAGGTGGAATGAACTGGTAGGGCCAAGTGCATTACAGCTGCATTTCTCTCAGTACCATTTATAAAAATTAATAAGCTTCACCTAACTGTCCTTCACAGGAATGATGCTAAACTGAGCACAGCGGATATGCAGCATAACCCACCAAAGTTTCTGAGTACAAGACGGATGACTTGCCTGGGCACCATCTGGTCTGGACCGTTGTTATGACTTTGAACCTCTTTTATTTAAGTTAGTGAAAGTTCTGTTTGAGTTTTCAGAAAGTTAAGTTCTCTTAACTAACAAAATATCACTTCCATTCTTTTCACCATTTTTTTTCTTCCAAAAGAGTCTTTCTAGACAACGGGGCCTTCTATTTTGTCTTTAGATGGATGCCTTGTGTCTTTGAAGGTCTGATGTATTTTAGTGAATCTTCTTAAATGAAGTATGATTTTTAAAAATATTTGGATTCAGACCTGGGGCTCTTCAGAACACACTTTATTAATTCATCAAAAGAATGACTTGAATTCTAGCCCCACATACTTGTGTATAAAGACCTACAGATGTTGGCAATGCCAGTTAGGTATATTTTTTAGTATCTCTTTAAATCTTTCTTAATGTATAAATGACATTTAAAAGGCCCCTTTTCATGACAGTTGGCAGAGTATCTAAGACCATAACAAGTTGCTTCCCCAGTAAATGTCATTTTTCCTTAACCACAGGGCTATAATTCAAATACTGCAGGATTTTTTCCCTCATATTTGAAAAAATAGAGTTACTGTGGAGTAGGGGACTGGTTGAGGGGCTAAGGATTTAGTGTTAAGTGCTTTGAAAATGGATTTTCAGACCAGGGGATGTGACACTGCCTCTGGCCCATTCATGGAAACCCTCAAGAAGTGAGGAACACAGAGAAGACAAATAGCAGGAGGTCAGAGTGATGCAGTAGTTAAATCCAGGTCATTGTGCTCAAGAAACCAGGTTCAAATTCAGTTTCTATCAGGTGCTAACTTCCTATTCAGTTTCCCATTGTAAACAGAAGTAACAATGGTGCCTGTGTGTTAGTTTTCTATTTCAATGTCTAAATGGAGCAACAGCAGTCAGTGTGGATACTAACTTTGTTGCTTGAAACAACACAACTGTCTTGCAGTTTCCTTGGGTCTGGAGTCAGCCAGGTTTTCACAGGCTGAGCACAAGGCACAAGGTGCTGGGCAGCTGGGCAGGTGTGTTCTCATTGTGGAGCGGGCGCGGGGGGGTGGGGGGTAGGGGGGTGGGGGGGTGGGGGGGAGGGGGAGGGATGCTTGTCACTTAGATCTTCTGAGCTCCTGGTTCATTTCCTTGTAACTGAGTAACTGGTTTTTGCTTTCTTGTGAGTTGCCAGTGAAGGTTTCATTTTGAACTCTAAGGGTAGGACTTGGCAGGCATTCATTACAGCTGGTAAGCTTGCCATAATGAAGGCCAGCATGAGAGTCCTAGGTTTATTCCAAATCTTTTATTTCAAGATGTTCACCATCCCTTTTGATTAACTCAGAGCTAACTTATTATTAGCTCTTATTATTATGGACTTTGTATAGATAACCCCTTTCTTTTTTTATCTGATAGAAAAATAATCACAGTGGTGATCTTTATATCTGTTAGGTGTGTAAACTCAACAGCAGAAGGGGCAACAATTTTAGGGATCATTTTAGAGTTCCATCTAATCAATCATCCCCGAAGACACTGAAAAGATTAATTTCCAGTTCTCTGTATCATCTAGTGTCTGATCCCGAATAACATTTTGTAAATCTGTCATTATTATTATTTTTATAAGGTAGATCATTTAAAATAACAAAACACAGTAGATCTGTGAAACATTGTAATCTGCCCAATTGACCTCTCTTCATTTAGTCAAATGTTGCCTTCCCATCCTTCATTCACAATACACTTTGGCCCATCCTGGCCATTTTTCCTTTACAAAGAAAAATCTCTCATTTTCCTTTAGAATGGACATAACAAAGCCCTTCACAGGGCCACTGAAGTAGTTGGGTTCCCTTTATTGAGCTCCCAAGGGGGCACTGATTGTGTAAGAGGGGAATTATACAAGACAAGGCTCCTGGGTTTTTTGTCTAAATTATTGTAGATGTAGTGTGCAGCCAGTCAACTACAGTCAGCCACAGGTAGTATGTAGAAGAGGTTGGCCTTCCTGACGCCATATTTCTTAACCTGAATCACAAGTCACAATCTGAGCCTGAAGGGTGGTCTGGCTTCATCAGTTACCCTGCTTCACTCAAACAAAAACACAAAACTCCCATAGACAACTTGAGAAAGGACATTCTTTACTTTGGCTTCATATCTAATTAGCTCCAGGAGCATATTTTATATTCTACAGACAGAGAGACACTTAAAATGAAGTGTGAAATCTGTCCTTTGTTAACTTCTCAATGGAGTGCCTGTAAACAGAAAGCCAAAATTCAGAGTTAGTAATTTTTTACCCAGCTGCTCTTCTCTCTCTTAGTCACTGATATGCTGGGTACACATGCAAGGCCGGCCCCTGGAAGGTGGAAATGGGTCAGCATAGACTTCCTAGGAGTTATTCCTAATGTCAGTGGCAAAGCTTGGGTGAAGGCAAGAGAATGTGGGGGCCTCTGAGTCTGAAATCTACATGATATTGTATCCTATACTATGAGAACTATCTTGCTAGGGTTACCATAACAAACCAGGCGGTTTTATTTATTTTTATCCCTTCTGCATAGAAGAAACCTGAGGTCAAAGTACTCATACCAATTTCTTTCTAAGCCTGAACACTCCCTGGCTTATAGATTCTACTTTCTCCCTATGTATTCATGAGGTCTTTTTTTTTGAGTATGCCCTTCCCTAGTGTACCTCCTCCTCTTATAAGGACACCAGTCACACTGGATGGTGACCAATACACCTGATCTCATTGTTCATGTCTTTATGCATACCCTGTCTCCACATATAATCACAGTCTGGGAGATTCATAATTAAATGTATGGATTTTAAGGTGTCATAATTCAGCCCGTAACACCATGTACTTACAAAGTGTCAAGCTCATATTTTATTATTGAGACATTATGAATACAGAAGTTGATGGCATATTAACAGTTGGTGCTCAGATTTCATATCTTGGCCAGAATGGAAATGTTCTCTACCCTGAGAACAAACTACTGTGAGAACCAGAGGCAACAGTGTTCTGATGTGCTGGACAAGCACAGGTAGGGGTGAGCCTCTGGTCAGATAGACTCATTTTGATGGTCCCTTTATTTTCTGTGCTTGCTGATATATCCTTATAACATTGAACAGAATCTGTACCAAGTAGATATTTAATAACTATTTGTAAAATGAAAGATAGGTGGTTAAAAATTTCAGGAAAATAAGCTTTTTTGTGTTTTGTTTTGGTTTTGGTTTGTTTGTTTAAGAATGAGTGCTGTGATATCCTTACTTTTTTTTTCATACAAGTTTCTCTTTCCAGAACATGCTAGTAACTAAATCCAGCATCTCTTTGCAGTATATCCTTCTTCTTCTCTCAGATCGACACATCTTAAAGAAATCCAGAACCATTTGATCTTCGTACAATGTTTGTTACATATCAAGAGTTTATTTAACACTTACAGAATGAACTGGCAGCCTTTCTCCAGGGGGATTATTTGGTCCCATTGGCAATAGATAACCTTTCTTAAGCTTAAAGGGGTACAACATAGTTCTTACTATTGTATCTGTTTTTTCTTTGCATGCAGAAAAGACCACGTGGCAGAATCAGGAGCACACAGAGATGCTTTTCAGCAACTTTCCTTTAAAATAAAGAAGCACTGTACTATGGTGCCCTTGAACAACACATCTACATCTGTGACTTACTTAGCACTACTTTGTTATACCATGTGACACATGTAACAGTAACCTCCCTCCTCATATCAAAGCAAAGATTTTATTCACCCTATTCTAATAAGCAAATATAGTCAAACAAATATATATGCAAACTCATTATACATTTTTTTTTACAATTTTACACATATATACACTGTAATGTGATTATATCCTCCATTACCTGCTATTCTTCACCCACATTTGATGGCTTCCTTTCTTCCAGCTTGTCCCTTTTCTCCTTTCATGTCTTTTGTGTGTGCTCAGGTCTTAGCCAGGCAGCCACGTGTGCTGTGTGTTTATGAATCCAATGGCTGCATCACATCTAGAAGGCAGTGCTTCGTGGCATACTTTTCTATGCCCTGGCTCTTACAATCTTTCTACCTCCTCTTCTGCAATGTTTTCTGGGTTCCCTGGGTAACATAGCAGTCCCAAGGCTGAGCACTCAAAAGTCATTTGTTCTCAGCAGTTTGACCAGTTATGAATCTCCATTGCTTACTACAAAAAGTCTCTTCTCTGATTCACCCTGAAAGCAGCACAGGTCTATAACTCTAGATACTTAGAAGACGACGTGATGCCATATCCTTCTAGCAAAATTTCAGTATGATCCCCCCTTAGGGCCTGTGACCTCCTCAACTAGAGGCTTTTGACCAGAATTACATCTCTTTGAACAAACGTAAGTGTGTGGAAGGCACTGATCTAAAAGCCAAAGCTTCCAATACTGAATGATCTGAAAGGCTTCACCACCTGTTGTGTGCAGCATCCTGCCTCCCACGGTGGCTTCGCAGGGCTGGTGGTTATGACCTTTGTAACCATGAAAACAGTTAAATCTATTCTTTGTCTAGGTTTTGAATATTCTAGTTTTCTTATTTTGCATGTGGACTATATAATCTACATTTCTATGGCTTTGTGATCTATGTCATTTTTATTTTTACAGGTCATGGTGCCAAGAAGTCTAGAACAACAAGAGTAGAAGGTATCAGAACTGGATATGTTTTTTGAAGTTAAGAAGAGCAAAGGTCCTCCATTCTAATCATCACAGGAGGCATAAGGAATCTGACAGAATGCAGAAAGGCATATAAAATGAAAGCTCTACATAATTAGGATCAAAATAAATATTTCTAGTTCATTTCTTTTATGCCAGGTGGCTCCCCATTCCTAGTCAAACTGTACATGAATGTTACTCTCAAAAATTCTATGCCAGGTAGGCAGGGCATGTATATGTTTTTTAGATTTATGTGTTTATTATGTAAGTGTATGAGTAGAGGTGTGCACAGGCCATGAGATACGTGTGGAGGCCAGAGAGTGGCTTGTAAACACTGATTGTCTCATCCCACCATATAGATTCAGGGGACCAAACTCAAGGAGCCAAGCTAGGCAGCCCTCACTCACTGAGCCATCTTGCTGGACCAAGATACATTTCTTATCCTTATTTAGTAAGGGACTAAGATGTAAAGTGAATGAGAATTATTTAATAGAAGAAACAGAACAAAAATCTAGGTCTCTCAGTCTCCAGTTGCATATTAATGAAATCTTTTACTTAAAAACAAAAATAGTTAGATACTGTCACACCAGATGCTATAAAGGGGATGGAACATACTCACAGGAGGCATCCAGAGCTGTGCCAGTAGCACTGCCTCTGTCCTAACAAGCGACATTGACTCTGCTGTTTGTCAGATGACCTCTACAGTAGCAAACTCCCCCTTGTTTCAGAATGATCCCTTTGAATGTCAGAGAGCGGAAACTCAAGTTCAAATGCATCTGGCTGTGCCCAGGCTCCTCCTGAGGCTTTATGTTTGCAATGATCCTTGCTCATCCAGTTCAAAAGAAGAGTGAAGCAAAGATCATAAAATGTTTAAAGGGGAGAAATTAATTGGACCCTATTTTGTTTTGTCAGCCAGAAAGTGAAAAATCCACATCCAGGTGCTTGCCTAAGACCAAAGAAATAAATTATATATACCAAGTCCCACAAATTCTAAAATAAGGCTTTATGAGGTGTCAGATTGTGAACTGACTTTCCCTAGCTGCGATCCCTACCAAATGGTTTTATGTGGTTTGTAATTCAAATGTTTAGTCTGCGGGAGTCAAGGAAGAAGAGAATTCTCCTTGAACGGAAGCCTTACAAAGAGCTGAGTCACTTGGCTTCATGAGGCTCAGCACAGGCTGGACCTTTGCTCGCAAAGTAAAAGAAAGGACGGTGGGTCTGAAAGTGACCAGTGAGGGATGTAGTGCAAAGATATTTGTGCTGTCAAACTTTATGAAATTATCCTGGGGCCACTGCTTTAATTTAGTTGCTCGATATAGGGAATGCTATCAGCTGAAAAGACCTAGGGTTTCAATGTGTTTTATCTCTAAAAGAGAAGAAGGAGAAAAGAAAGAAAGAAAGAAAGAAGGAAAGGAAGGAAGGAAGGAAGGAAGGAAGGAAGGAAGGAAGGAGGGAAGGGAGAAAGAAAGTTGGCAAAATGTCTTCAAAGTGTCTTTTTTTCTAGTCACAGGAAGCAGAGACCTTGTATGTTCCATGAAACATCATCATGAGATCGAAGACTGAAGGACTTCTAGAACAGGACCTGAGGGATGGTCCTCACTTGCATAGGAATCACAGGGTTACAAACACCCATTCTAGGCCCTTCCTTGTAACTATGATCCAAAGGAGAGCCAGGAAGGCCCAAAGATCTTCATTTGGACAATACATATTCATCTGTGAGTCTGATGCAGATGGCAAGGGGACCCTAAGCAGAAACACTGGCCTCATCTAGCTTTGTTGGTTTTCTAATGAAGGAAAACTACTCCAGACGATTAGAACCAGCACTGAAGTAATAGTGGGCACCAACACCAAAATTCCATATTCTTTCTTTGCTTTCGTCAGGTGATGACATAAATATGCATAATTATTCTAACAAGCATTTAATGAAAGATACTTGACTTTATGAACAGGAAACAGCCACATTAAAAAGTTTTCAGAAAAAAATTACTGCTATGTCCCACTTTATTGTAGACATTGGGGATTTAAGTGTAATACGGCAGTGATAGTGGGGACTTAGATTTGTGGCCTCATTTAGCCTGTAGCTAATTAACCATAAATACATCTCACCAAATGTGATCACGTTGCTCTTGTATGAATGTTCCTGACTCCCAATTTGTTTGTGTAATCAGGTGTGCCTCAGTTGCTTTATTGAGGGAGAATCCTCAGAATTTGAGATGGTATTTCCCAGAAACCAATGCAGCTCTAGATTTTACAATGGTCAAATTTCTTTTCTTTAAAAAAAAAAAAATCAAGTCCATAGTCCTCTACTCTCCTGGTTCCCCAGCTATTGGTAAAGTATACAAGGGAACAACAACAACACAAAACAACAACAACAACAAAAACCCATGATGAGTGATACTTATAAGCTTTGGATAACTTGATAAATTTTCATTCAGAAAATTTGTTGTCTTCACAGTATCTCAAGATACAGACAGATAAGATGCATCCACTTTCAGTTTCACTAGAAGTAGCATGGTAATAATATAAGTATTTAATACTGATTCTCCCTTACATGTGAAAGTTGCTGTTGTCCACTGAGAAGGAGTGCGGTTAAAAAGCTGTTTTCATCTCATAAAGTTGCGGTTATTATTTCATATTTTTGTAGAAATAATCACTACCTAAATGCATGGAGTGTTGACAATTTTTGAAATGGGGCCAAATAAATCAAGTTCCCAGTCCAAAAGCAGGCAGAGCCCAAATGCAGACCCTGTCCAACACCAAACCAATGATTCAAAATAAACATGGTATCTCCCAGAGGCCCTTGCAAAGTGAGGGCTCTAGAAGGGGAAGTGGTTTCCCAGTGAAGAAAAGAAAGGATGCCCTTAAAGGGTGACAAAGTATAAAAACTCACTGAATAAGCCTCAGTTCTTAAGATTATTTCTCCAACCCAGACTTTTCTTTAAGGACTTCTACTTTCCCAGGAGAGAAAAACAGAGTCAGTCTGGGGCAATCAATTAGATGTCAAGTGTACACATACGTGATACACCTAGATGTGAGGGCATCAATGCCAAGACACAAAGTCACTCTGTCCCTTTTAGTTATTGAACTTGAGGTCTGGAAAATGCCCTTAGCTTAGGATGTGAATAGTATCCTCCTCCTTTAAGAAATGGAAGCGATCCCATAAAAAATGGAGGTTCTTTGAACCTTGTTAATAAATCAATCCCAGAATAAGCCCTCAGAATAACACTATCAATCAAAACCTACACACGAAATGGGAATTTCAGAGAAGTGCCAAGAGTCTTATCATAATTGCTTCCTGACAGAAAGCTCGGATAACAAACTCAGGACAAGGCTACTGAGACGCTGGTGGAGACCTTGTTTCTTGTTGCTCTAGGTATCAAAATAGGAAGTAAACAGCTTCCAACAGTTCTGAGAACTGCCTGGAGGAAGTGCTGTTTCCTCTCCCTGCACCTGCTCAACTTGCTTATCTTTTTCATCCTCCCAGTCCAGCCTTCGGCAAGCTGGCTGACGCCCTTTCACAAAGACCATTTCTTACTATCTGCCTCTGACCTCATGCCACCCGGCTATTCCAATATGCACCCCCTTCCTCCCTAGCCAACAAAATGCGAATAAGGGAAGGGAGGGATCACCCCCACTGATTTCCACGCGACACATCTCCTATGCAGACAAAGGGAAAGTTGAATTCCGGCTCCTGGAAGTCTCCACATACTGGGGGACAGAATGAGCACTGATGCTAGGTGGGTTTCCAGTACCACCCAAGCAGCGTCTCAGCATGACTGAACTACTTCATCGGGATCCTCAGTAGGAACCAATAAACAGCTCTGGATCTCATTAGCTGTTCAACCCAGTGTAAGGTCCTACCAAAAATAACATGTAAGCTTATTTTACAAGGAGCTTGGGTTTGTGTTACCACCTACTGGCGATTTTTAATACGACATCATCACCGGCCTGGTACCTGACATTTTCATAAGGCGGTTTCATGCATGTGTGCCTGGAGAACGTTAAGACACCTGGCTGTCCGAGTCTTGCTATGAGCCAAAGAAAGCTCCTGTATTCACTCTGTCACCTCTGCTTGGCTTCGCACAGTCTGTTTCCAATTCATGAGAAAGGTGTTCTGAATGTTATTCCCGGGCCGTCTGATTCCACTTAACCTGAACCTTTTCATTTGAAACACTAGTGCTTTAAGGTGACAAGTAGTAACAGGAGCAGGCTAACTTGTCCTGCTAGGTACAACATTCAACCTTCGTTCACGGCTTGGCCATCAGGTTTTCAACATCTACACAATTGTCTTTCAGATAACGGAATGGTTTCAAACTAAATATGCTTTAAAATGACAGAAAAAGAACCTAGATTTTTTTTAAAGACATTAGAATATTTGGGTGTAGGGGCTAACATGAAGAAGACAATTATTAGATACTTTATGTATGTTTTAATTTTCTTTACTGATCTAGTAAATCATTCTTTAATTGTAATTTACCAAAGGATCCAATTTTACTGTAAAGTAAATCCATCATGATTTCTCCGCAGGTCTCTTTTTTGACCAAGCCTGGAAGATCATTTACATTACTTTTTAGAGACTCATACTATCTGAAAGAACCTGGGGTACCGCCACTATAACGTTGATCGTATGACTCATACTATCTGAAAGAACCTGGGGTACTGCCGCTATAACGTTGATCGTATAAATATTATGTTTCTGTGGCTCCACGGTGAACTAACCACATCTAGTATTTATTACATTAAGAAAATCACTTCAGTTAAAGCTTTATTTATGGAGAAAATTTAAGCAAAAATATATGCAGAAAAATTATTGGTAGTATGCTTTGGTTGGAGAAATGAAAACATGTACTAAATAAAATTAAGTTTTATAAATGTTGTGCTTCGATGCAACAAGACGGAACATTTGAGCAGAGTATTTGCTTTCCCGTATCACCCGATTAAGGATCAATTTTTTCTTTTCCACATACAGGAACACCTAAGTGTTCTTCTATAGACAGATCCATCGTCCTTATGGAGGAAAACAGAACCTAAAATCTGAAGAGAAATAAAGATCTCTAGCAAGAAGCATTACTGAAGGCTTGGCCAGTCCAGATGTAAGTGAGCAGTGACTTGGGGACACAGCAGGAGGAGGGACATTGCAATTTATTGGCCAATTACAGGCAAACACCTTGCCAAATCTCCAATATTTTTTTTCTCCAACTGTCTCCTGTTCTTTCTTTCCATCAGTAAGATAAAAGTCATTTCTGTTAATCGGAACCTAACCAAGAAAAAAAAAACGTGGAAACTGTATCATACTAATTTTGTAAGACAGGAAGAAGAGAAGCATACACTGGACTGTAAAGTAATCCAGGGATTAATCAGATTGAGAAGCAGCCTCAGCTCTGCTTTAGGAAATCAAGTCCATAGTTTACTACTAAATATCTAGCTGATTCATTCCTGCTACCCAGTTAGGTAATGGATTTCACAGAGTGACATTTATTCATTTCGTATTACCATTCCTCCACATCCTATTCTGAAGAATAGTTAGCCGTTCAAAGAGTTGGATAGAGATGATTTATGAGGCAATAGATTCTCCTAAATGAATGAAACAACAATGATCTGAGCCATACTTCACTGGAAGGACACTATGGCTGTTAACATCAGTAGTCTCTTTAGGGAGCTTTAATGAACCAAACCAAAGAAATATATAGTGTCATGGGCTTTATATGTATTTATTCATTGTAGTGCCAAGGATCAAATCCAGGGCCTTACACATTGTGGGACATCTCTCTGCTGCACAGTGACATGCTGAGCCCCAGACAAGGACTTTTGTTTATTTCTATGAACTCAAAATACAGAGTAAGGGTTTAAACATCTTCAATTCTTCTTACAAGTTCTACAAAAGTTCAGACCATGGCCACAAGTTCTTTTGAACTTGAGGGAGACAGAAGGAATAACAGTCTCTAAAGCAACAGTATTGTCCTTCTTCCATTTTTGACTCTACCTTCCAATTTGCTGTAACCCCATTATACTAACATTAATTACTTTGTCTCATTAACTGCACAATAGGGCCAATCAAACTTATAGACATATTATCAGTCAGCACTCAATAAGTATGCCATCTGTCAAACTCCCTAAACCAGAAGTTGAACAGTCAAGACATTTTAACTTTCAATTTTAATGTGTAAGATTGAATGCTAATGGGTTACTTTTTTACAGTATCATCCACCAATGTAAGGTTTACAACTAGGCTCCAGGGGATACACGTGGGCTTTCTGTGGGCTTTCTATCCTGGAAAACTAACCCAAATTCTTGTGCTCATGCCAGATTCTAAGAGACATCACAATTAAGTCCCAGAGGGATACATTGCAGTTGAAGAGGAAGTCTCCTACTGAACTATATGGGGGAAAGGCTGGCCGAAGCAACGTTCACATTCAGGCCATTATGTGCTTAATTGCACAAGGTGGATGAAGTCATTACTATTATGGTTAAGGTCCTGCCAAGATTAAGCTCCTTCCGCAAATAATGTGCCTGAGAAATGACATAATTTTGAGCTGACTGTCCGTCACACACCATATCCTATTTCCTTCTACGGCATTTGAGGGAAAGTTCACTGAAACAAAGTTCTCACCAGATCTTAAACATAATGGAGAAATGGGCCAAACGCAGGACAAGACAGATTCTAATCAACACTGCAGGACCTTCCCTGACACTTCATTTGCATGCATTCAATTACACTCGCTTGTACTTTAGTTCCTGAGCTAAATCATTGGAGACTTAAATAGAAGAGCTCAGCAGGGCACCCCTGTGCTGCACCCATGGTGTAAGGGAGAAAGTCAAGAGTAGGGAGCAGGAGTGAGGAGACAAATAAAATCAAGTTAACTGTTTCTTCTGCTTGGGGCTTGGTGCCAGCTGTTTGTAGCAGCGTTGTTTCTTTCTCGTTTGGTTTGCGTGTTACCTTATTAATTTAGGTTTTCAGGCTGGCTAATACAACACATAAGGACTGCTTAGTGTTTACTCTAGATCCTGTATCAGAATAAATGCTAGAAATTCGTGGATAATATCTTAAAAAGAACAATTTTCAAATGAGATGGAAAAGTGTGTATTTTTACACACATACTCACTTTTTCCAGCTTTCCAAAAGTCAGTGACGAGGGCTGGAAGATAGTTCAGTCTATAAAGTGTTTGCCATGTAAGTATTACTTGATTCAACCCACAGAACCTGCTTTAAAACAAACGAACAAACCCAGAACAACAACAAAACAAAATACAAAACAAATGAACAAACAAGAAAATCAAGCATGAAGGCAGAAACTTCTTTTATTTTTATTTTATTTTTTATTTATTCATGTTGTATCCTGCCCCCATTTCTGGTACCCCCTTCACTCAGTCCCTCCTTCACCTTCTCCCCTTCTCTGAGTCGGTGGAGCCCCTCTCCCACCACTGTATCTCCTTATCCTGGCACATTGAGTGTCTGCAGGGCTAGATACATCTTTTCCCACTGAGACCAGACAAGGCAGCCCAGTTAGGGTAATGGATTCTGCTGACAAGCAATAGCTTTAGGGATAACCCCTACTCCAGTTGTTTGGAGATCCAATTCTATCACTGGGGAGACAAAGTTTGAAGGACCTGGGGGCTGGCTCATTGGCTCCTAGGCAGTCTAGCTTAGCTGTCAAGCTTAATTGTCTCAAAAACAAGGTAAATGGCTATTCTGAGGAACACTACTTGAGGTTGACCTCTATATAGTCTATCTAGATAATATAATTTAAATATACTAATAAAATAATGTATATTTATTAATTAATTGTATTGTAATAATTACATCATTAAATATAATAAATATTATAATATTAATTGAGTGCATTAGTACATTAAAATAAATTCTAATTTAAATAAAATTTAATTTAAATAATTTAAAATATGAGGCTCTAATACAGAGTGTGGATACCTACATATGATGAAAACAGTTATACCTAGAATTTGTCAAGTACTTAGCCCTTGGTACTTATTCTCCATATTGTGCTACATTTAGGATCTAAGGCACCATATACATTTAATAACCTGGGCACTACAGTAGAGGTCCTGCGTTGTCAAGATGGGAAAACCAAGATGAGTATCAGGTAAGTGAGGTGTAAATGAAACGAGCGTATGTTACAACTAGTACTTAGAATCACATAACTGATTTCACGGCCTCACAATGTGGCATATGCTCTTCTCAGCAAGATCTCTGCTAGAAAGGAGTTAAATCCTTCATTAGCAATCAGCTCTTTTACCCCCCTGAGTTGAGACTTCTCAATTTAGCCTTGGGAACTGGGGGGAAGATATGAGAACACTGTCAAGGCCAAATTAGGAGGTGATTGGATCAGTATCCCTGTCCAGTGAGATAAGAGTATTAGGATAAAGCAACAGGCAAATATTGATATTTTCTAACTCCTATGTCAGAGTTAAGCAAGCCTGTAAAACTCTTGTGTAATAGACAAATACCCCAGAGAAGATTTCACAATTGAAGATCAATAGATCTGAGCCTTTTGGATTTTCCTTTCATTTTTAACACATGCCAAAAAAAAATTCCTTTTTAGCCATCTATCAAAACACTATTTTTTTTAATGACATTTATTTACTTTTATGAGTATGGATGTTTGGCTGACATGTAAATCTGTGCACCCTGTGCTTGTAGTGCCTACAGAGGCCAGAAAAAGGCATGAGGTCCCTTGGAACTGGAGTTGAAGATGATTTTCATCCACCTAGTGTGTGCTTGGAATCATACCTGGATCCTCTGGAAGAGCAGTGTGATCTTACTCATTGAGCCATCTCTCCAGTCTCATAACACAGTTTTATTAACTGAAAGATCCAAAAATCTTATACTAACTTGATATTATATATTCATGGATTCCCAAAACTGTGAAATAACTGGTCTTTAATACAGAAACTTGCCCAGTATCAATAACCAAAGATTTTTTTTTAAAAAAAAAGCACCATTAAGAATTGTAGGTTGGTCAAAGAGTGAGTATGGACTGGACCTAGCACCCCCACCCCCTGTCCCGTGCACACACATATGTAGCAGATGTGCAGCTTGATCTTCATGTAGATCTTCTAAAATCTGGAGGATCCCAGAGTTCATCAGAGTCAAATTTGTTGCTGGCATGTGGATTCTGTCCTCTTAATTGGGACTCCTTGTCTAGCCTCAGTGAGAGAGGATTCACCTAGTCCTACAGTGACTTGATGTGGGGGGTGGTGGTGGGAGGGGCTGGGGGTTGGCAGATGGGAGGGTGGAGGGAGGGGAGTGATACCCAGAGGGGGCTCTTCCTTCTCAGAAGAGTAGCAGAATGCAGAATGAGGGGATGAGCTGTGGGGGGGGGCACTGAGAGGAGAGGGAAGCTGATATTGAGATATAAAGTGAATAAATAAATTAATTGATTGATTAATTTTAAAAAAGAATTGCAGGTTGGTATCAACTCCTTAGCCCAAATCAACAATGCTTGATAATGCATGGAAAATACTGTCAATCACAGAGCCCAACATTAATAGAACACACCCCAATCTGAATGTCTCTCAGATCCCACTATACAAGAGGCAGAATGAATGCCCAAAGAGGACTTTGACCTGCTACCCTTGTTATAAGACAAGACTTTCTTGAGTGGGTGCAGCACATGTGATCTCATCCATAATAGGAAGCTCATGACAGACCAAATCCTGGTGCCACCAAAGTCCAACTTAGTCAACTAATGAGTTTTATTAAGGCTACTTACAGGGTTGTAGGTGAGGTGTTACTTTCAGAGCAGAAATGACTAGAAGACAGCTGTATTCCCAGTGCTCACCCCAGCAAGGGTGACAGCTCACAAAAGCTTGGAATGTAGAATGCACTGCATAGCCTGCAGGCAGCTCAACATATTGGAGAGCGTCCTTTCCAACTGACTCAGTTGGCCTAAGCCTCTTCCAGGCAGCTCAACTGGTTTCTGCTTCTTCCAGAAAGCTGGTCTAGCCTCAGAGTCTTCTTTGCGGCTTGTCTTGTCTGAGAGTGACCCTCAGCCATTTTTTATTTATTGTGGGATGGAGGAATCTAGTGAATCTCATTAGTTTCAGGAACTTCCTGAAGCTATTTTGAGTTGTTCACTTTATGTCTTAAAGAGCTTCCTTGAAGAATTGTGGGTGACTGTGTATGTGATGGTATGTGTGATTGTGTGTGTGTGTGATTGAGTGTGTGTGTGATGGTATGTGTGACTGTGTGTATGTGTGATTGAGAGTGTGTATGTGGAGGAGTTCACGTGGTAGTCTGTATGGCGACTTGAGAGGCACATGTATCTAGGTGTACTTGCCTGTGTATGGAAGTCAGTTCAGCATCAATGGTCTTCCTCAATTCCCTCTACCCAGCTTTGGAGACAGTCTCTCCTCTGAACTGACTCCATGAACCCTTGGGATGCTCCTGCCTCTGCTGCTACAGCATTGGGATTGCAGGCATGTGCCACCACATCTGACTTTTTATTTGAGTGCTAGAGATCAAAATCAGGTTCTCATGTTTGTGTGGAAAGCACTTTACAGGGTGAATTGTCATCTCACTTTTTAATTTAAAAAGTCATTCATAGAAAGATTGTGGATAATTTTGCCTTCCATTAGATGAAACAGATGTGAAGTGGTTTGCCTACTGAGTGGCTTTGTTCTTCCCTCTTTGCATTCTCGATTCCATTTTAATTTTCATGTTCTGGCTTAAGAGTGACACTGTAACACGGGTGTAGGTGATGGTACATTATCTATAGTATCCCTCCCTTTTAGGACAGAGGGATTATCCCTATCTGTGCAGTTTTGATGTTGGGCATTCTGTGACTGTGTCTCTGTCTCCTTCTGAACGTGGTCATTGGCTCAAGAGGAACACCTTGAAAAAAGTCCTGCTTTTCTCCTGGGTCAGCACACACACAGTGACTAGCTGGTACCCTACTGGTCCCAGATTCAGGACAGTTCTCTAGCAAGGGTCATGGCAATGTCCTGCTGCCAAGAGATGAATTTCTGGGGATGACAGAACTAGGCTGGGTCTCAGTAGTCAATCCTGCATCCTCATCCCTCCTAAGGAGGAGGTTACTCAATTCTTCCCTAAGAGCTACACCTATGACAAAGTCTTCAATAATTCACTATCATAAGCTTAACATATGAACATTTCATAAACAGGAAATGAAATAGAAACAAAATTCCAAAGGTCTGCCTGACACTGATGTAAGGTAAGCCAAGGTCCCATGCCAAAGGCTGCCCAGTGTCCTACCTCATTTGTTGCAGCAAATTTATTGTCTTTTTTCTCCTAATTAAATTTCTAAGTCCAAAGCAATATATTCTACTCTCTTGTCAAGCCCGCTTATTCTAAATGGATTTTCTATGTTGCTATTGTTGACATTGGCATTTTTTAAGGACACAGGCAAATTGTTTTGTAGAATGCCCTTCAATGTGAATCTACTTATTTCCATCAAGTTAAACCTAGTACCACTTCTCCAGGAGTCATGAATTTGGTAATACTGCCCTATCCTGGAATTTGTACAACTAATTCTAAAAGATCTACAAAATTTTCTTTAATTGAATTTCTTGGCATGTAATAGTCAACCTTGTCTGTGTTAACAAAGTAGGATGACGTCAGTTGTGGGAGCATAGTGAGATCCTTTTGAGGATACATAAAGCAACAATTTATTATCTAAATGTAAGGTTGTGTCATCACTGAAAGGCATTTAACTGAGGTAGGAACTGGGCGAATGCTTATCTTGTCTGATGACATGCTAAAGTTCTCCAAATTCTATGTGACATCAATAAGTGACACAGTCTGCATTTAAGACTATTGACAGAGTTAATACTCAGTTGGCTATGCTTGAATCATGGGTTAGCTAATGCACACACCTTATTTAATGTTGTACTTTACCTTCATGACTACTCTATAATATCATTTTGGAGAAGTCATGACCTTCATACTACTCTATAATATCATTTTAAAAGACTTATTCTATCTTTAATTGTGTGAGTGTGTGTGCATGCATGTGAATGTAGGTACTGTGAAGTCCAGGAAAGGGCATTGGATCATTGGATCCCCTGGAGCTGGAATCATAGGCAGTTGGGGAGACACCCAGTGTGGCCACTGGAACTGAATTGCAAGAGTAGAATGAGCTCTTCTCCATAGCTCTAAGCCTATAATAATGACAGTTTTGATAATATCACATTTTTACTGATGAGAAAACTTGGAATTTTGGAAGGTGTCTTTTGAAAGAACATGCAGTAGACAAAGAGAAGAATTGGAATCCACTGGAAACTTTACTTAATAGGAGTTTGATAATTTGTATTACAAACAAAATCTCCAAGGGTCTGATGTTACTATATATTGATAAACAGATTCCTGAAGTACTAACTTTTAAACATTTAAAACGCTAGAGAATATTTACAGAAATATACCATCTTTCAAGAAATGCACAATCTCAGCTAGAAGGCTTTACAAGCCAGTAAAATTTCCAATGTATTCTAAATATTTCTCCTTGTACCCATAGAGAAGTGAAGCTCTCACCCAGAATCAAGAGTTTCTTGTCATGGGATATAACAACTATTACAGAAATCCACAACTGATCAAAATGTAAAGAAAATCAGACCATGGGGTACCAAATGGCAGCTGACACACATATATATATATGACTGCTACCTAAAACTCAAGGAGCAGTGGGTAAGAAAGAAGATAGTGTAAGAGACAGAGGACATAGTGTCTTCTATATATAACAGGGATTCTGTGCCTATGAAATGCCAAAAAATATGGTTCCCTAAACATGATATATACAATGACAACACTGGTTGACATGCCAACATGAATGACAGAAATCTCACAAGGTCTTATTCCTGAATGAAGAACTACAGGTTATTAATGGCTGAGAGATTAATACTGAGAGAGGGAGGGAACGTCAGCCCTCCTCAAGGATGAGCCCGATAGGTTATCTAATCCTAAGTAGTCAACCATAAACATACACATATATATGATCAACACTAACTGAACTGAGATTGTCTGTCTGTCTGTCTGTCTGTCTGTTTCTGTGTCTATCTGTCTGTCTGTCTGTCTCTCTCTCTTTCACACACACACACACCCAAACACACATACACACATACACAAACACACAGACTT